CAAGATACACCCTATACTAATCCTGCCTCATTAATGTAACAACGACAACCCATTGTGGTTATAAATGGAATTATAACCACAAGCACAGAAGTTAGATTTTACAACACATTATTTTCGGGGTTTACAATTTAATTCATAACATTTGCATTACCAATAAACTGTCTAATCCCTTCTGTGGACTACAAGCACCTTATTTGCATAGTCATACCTAATCATTGTGTGAGAGTTACAAGACTATGCATGGCTAAAACGGCCACAGAAATTCACTGTACCACATATTCCATTTATATAAAATATCCAGAATAGGCAAATCTATAGAGACAGAAGGTAGGTTAGTTGTTGCTTATGACTGGGAGGGATGGGAGGATTGAGAGGTGATGGCTAAAGGATATGAAGTTTCTTTTTGGGACTATGGAAATGTTCTAAAATTGACTGTGGTGATGGTTGCACAACTCTGTGAATATACTAATACCCAATAAACTGTATACTTTAAATGGGTGAGTTGCAGATAATGCAAAGTACAGCTCAATAAGGCTGTTTTAAAAAAATTAACCTGTGGTCATCCAAATCAGATCACTGGTTACCTCTGGACGGTACTAACTAGGAAGGGGCACAAGGGAACTTGAACTGTTCATCTTTTTTTTTTTTTTTTTTTAATTTTATTGTGTCTTAGGTGAAAGTTTACAGCACAAATTAGTTTCTCATTCAAAAATTTATACACAGATTGTTTTGAGACATTGGCTGCAATCCCTGCAATGTGTCAGCACTCTCCACCTTTTCCTTTCTACCCTGGGTTCTCCACATCCATTCATTGTTTTGTCTCTTCCTTCTTATCTTTGCTTTTGGGCAGGTGTTACCCATTTGATCTTGTAGTATACTTGACTGAACTAAAATGCACATTCCTCACGTTTGTTTTATAGGCCTGTCTAATCTTCAGCTGAAAGGTGGACTTTGGAAGAGCCTTCAGTTCTGAGTTAGCAGGGTGTCCGGGAGCCATAGTCTCAGGGGTTCCTCCAGTCTCTGTAGACCAATAAGTCTGTTCTTTTGTTATGAATATGAATTTTGTTCTACATTTTTCTCCCACTCTGTCCAAGACCCTCTACTGTGATCCCTGTCGGAGCAGTTGGTGAAGGTAGCTCGGCACCATCTAGTTCTGGAGAATTGCTCATCTTGATTGGGATGGTAGTTAACCTCTTGGTGACCCAATTATTTTCTACTTTGAATTTTTTGTTGATACCATGTGTTTTCATTAATGGAAGCACGCTGAATCACTGAGTATATCTGAATTTTTGGTAGGCAGTATGGATTTTTTTCTTGCCCCCTTCCACAAGCATACCCTAAGTGTTAATGGTACATACGAAGTACCACTAAATTATATCCCAGAGTCCCCACTGGAGTCTACTGGTACATCTGTGTAACAAAAATTTTCAAAATCTCTATTTTTCCCACCAAAAATTCAGACACCTCATACAATACCCTGTAAAAACAGCAATTTGTGACACACGTCCATTTCTTCGGTTTCAAAGAGTCATAAAGGCTCCTGCCTTGCAGCTGCACACACTGTAAACAGTACAGCAGCTTCCCAACAAACCCTAGGGGCTGAAAAAGTTCATGGTCGTTATATGTACCACCAGGCACGAAAGAGTTAACATGCGTATACACATTAAGCTGTACACTTAAGACTGGTTCACTTTACTGTATACATGTATACCTCAAAAAAAGATTCTTCAAAATCACTAACAAATTGTTTTAACAAATATATATTTATTGAGTGAATATTTCAATTAATTCTCATAACAAATCTTAGAAATATATACAATTACTATGAGGAAATATAGATTCAGAAAAGTTACATAACATGCCTAAAGTCACATAACTGGTTGATCTCCTAAGTGCAATACTCCATGACTTATCTTTATATTTCCTGTAACTAGAAATGCTGCCTGATGCATGGTATGCACACATAAATACTTGCCGAACGAATGAGGAGCATAAAGTGTATATTTAAATTGTTTAATTTTATATAAAGGTAGAGAAGGATAAAATTATCATAGTTTGAGGAAAGCTATATGGAGGATATGTGACTTAAGATGGTCTTTGAATCTAAGAGAACAGCATGAATAGGAATTGAAAGTAGGGGTTAGTATAGGGGAAGACTGGAGGAATCATAGTGCCCTGGGAAAACATCTTGTATGGAGCAGTTTCCATCTTAATACACTTTTTCTGTACCCTAGTGTAATTTAACCCAATATGCTCAAATTTGATAGTAGGCATAGCCATACCACCAAAGAAATGCAATTTCTTAAAGGCATGTAAATAAATAAAAACCCTTCCACCCTAGCACAAACTACCCACAGGAACAAAGGGGTTTTTCAAAGGACCACAGCAGAAAAGGGATCCAAAAGGAGCATTAAGTAGAGGCATTCCACAGATACAACTTCAAAAATTCCAGTGCTTCTTGAGATTTAGCCACAATATTTCCACAGCAATTCTAAAATCACAGTAAGAATGGTCACTGCTTAGCCAATTTAAGCAAGCAAGCCAGCATATAGTTCAACTACTATTCATTTAAGTTGCTACCCCTCAAAACAAAGAACTCACTAAAATAATAGCTTATCTTCAATTACTTGAACTGAGGCTAACAGAATAAATTACCACTAACTGCCTGCAGAGGAGGAATGAAATGTGGACGCCAACAGCCACTTCTTATAAGTTAGGAACAAAATGTCTTTAAAAGAATGCACAAACAGTAAAGGTGACCCAATAATGAGAGACTTGATATTTATTTCACAGGTAGCATTTTTGGTGATGTCCTTGGAAATCCCCAATTTGGGATATTATTTGTCATTTTCTTTCAGCACATCTATCATCTTAATCTATCTGAAGAACAATCACTGACAAGGTAATTTAAAATCTTGACATTCTAGGTACCAGATCCACCAAAATTGCTTTAAAATCTTGGGGGGCATAGGGACCATAAGAACAATTCTGTACAAAAGATTGACTCTTGCCCCTAAATAAGTCAGTATTCAAGAAACTTGGTATCCAAAGGGAGAGGGTTGACATGTGGGGTTGTTAACCAATGTCATAAAACAATACGTGTACTGTTTAATGAGAAACTATATGGTCTGTAAACATTCACCTAAAGTACAATAAAAAAAAAATGCCAAAAAAATAAATGTTAAAAAAGTTAAATGCAAACCTACACAAACACACACACACAAACTTGATGCTTTATTTCCTAGTTTATACCCAGCCTCACTCTAGGAAAAGCGTGCAACAACAGAATCCAAACATACCGTGAATAATAACCAAATTATAGTTATTTATTGAGCTCAGCTGCTGACTGAAACATCAGCATTGAACCCGCCGGCTGCTCCGCCGGAGAAAAATGTGGCAGTCTGCTTCTCTAAGGATTAGTCTTGGAAACCCTATGAAGCAATTGTACTCTGCCCTATAGGGTCACTATGAATCAGAATCAACTGGACCACAATGGGGTTTGGTTTGGGTATTTTTATTGAGCCCCTGAAACCTATTCTCAGTACCTCACACGCATTACAGAGATTATTTCTCCCAGTAACTCTATGTGGTAGATATCTACATCACTATATTACACTTGGAGCCCTGGTGGCACAGTGGTTAAGAGCTATGGCTGCTAACCAAAAGATACGCAGTTCAAACCCAGCAGCCACTCCCTGGAAACCCTATGGGGCAGTTCTACTCTGTCCTATAGGGTGGCTATGGTTCAGAATTGACTCCGCAGCAACGGTTTGGTTTGGTATACTACACTTGAAGGAGCCTTGGTGGCATAATGGTTAAGCACTCGGCTGCTAACCAAAAGGCTCCACGGGAGAAAAGACCTGGTGACCTGCTCCCGTAAAAATTCATGGCCTAGGAAATCCTATGGGGCAGTTCTACTCTGTCCTATAGCGTCGCTATGAGTCGGAATACGGCACACAACAGGATACTATATATGAGGAAAGTTATTCAAACTGTTAAGTTGGAAAATGGCTATGCTGGGAATTGAAGCCCAATGTTTCTGATTCCAAACAGACAAATTCTTTGACTCAACTACAAGGCACTGCCTCCCTTAACAGGAAAAAATATAGACAAAAGCATAAAACTTTTCACTTTTTCCTGGATGTTACTTGTATCTCAGTACGATATAGTAATTAAATGCAAGAGCATTGGAGTCGGACTACCTGGACTGAAATCTAGCTCCACCACTTAGGAGATGTCTCAGTCATCTCACATGGAAACTGACTATAAAAATAGTACCTATAAAATCGTTCAGGGGCTTAAATAAATTAATACGTGAAAAAGGCTTCAAGCTGTCCTCATATGGGGGGAAACAGACTGGCTCTGTTGGAAGGGAAAATGGTAATGATTTCCAAGAAAAATATATTTTTCTCAGCAAAAAACTAAAGGTAAGGATCGCTCCGACAAAAATTGTAACTTGGCGGAGGGGGGGGGGGCGGCGAGGGATGAGGGGGAAGAAGGGCGGGAGGGGCCCACTCGCCCTTAATCGGGGAGAGGACCCGGCTCCGAGGCGTCGTGAGGGAAGCGGCGGGGACAGAGATTTCTCTCGGGATGTTTCGCGCGAGGAAGACGCCTTAGAGGGGCAGGCGGGGACGAGGGCCCTTCAGCGGTGATCGACAAGTGGCAACCGGGCCGCCGGGGAAGCGGAGCCGGAGAGCCCGAGGGTTTGAGAGCCTGACCACCGCCACTCAGGTGTGAAGGGGGCGGGCCGCGATCTCAGAGCGGCCGGAAACTTGCCCGGGCGTCGGCCTGGGCCCACCCCGACGTCCGAAAGAGGCCCACCCCTGCGTCTGAAGGGGCCTACCCCAGCGTCCGGAGAGACCCAACCCGGCGTCGGGCGGCGCCCACTCCAGCGTCGGGAGGGGTCTACCCCGGTGAGGAACGGGCCGGAGCCCCCATGAGGGCGGGAAGGAGGCGGGAAGAGGAAAGGCTGGAGGTGTTTGAAGGCGGCAAGTACCCACCAGCCGGCCGTATCGCTCCGCCGAGCCCCTCCTCCTAGGTGGTGAGGGTCGCGAGCGGCCGCAGCGCGTCAGGATCGAAGAGCGGGCCGGCGGGCGCGCGCGCGCGAAGCTCAACAGCCGCGCGGAGGAGACGCGCTCTCTGGACGGGCGCAGGCGCGGATGCTTGGGGACGAAACCAACCCGCAAGGCGGGGGACGCCGTCGCCGGCATGTACCAATTGCACTGGGCGAGGGGCGCAGTCCCGGCTCCCTCACCGTTTACGTTTGCTAGCGCTTTGAGAGAAAACCAGACGGGCAACAGGACCCCCAAACCGCTACAGTGAACCATTCAAAGTTGGCTGTGCAATCTCAAGCCGCCTCTGGCCCTTTATTTATACAATATATATTATACATCTCGAGTTATACTGAAATCTGTTCATATGACCCCTTGAAAAACAGCTGCCCAGATGACAAAATGTGAGAGTCTGATCATTTCAGGGGCCAGGGAGGGAATCTGGGAAACGTAAACTCTTACTAGAGGTAGCAAATGGAAGTATAAAATTAGTACAGCCACTGAGGACAATTCGACAGCATGTGGTAAAATTTTAAATGTGCATTGTATGATCCAACAATTTCACATCTAGAATGATACTGAAATTCTTATATGTGTGCACAAGAGGACACGTTCAAGGAAGCCTACTACACATTTGTTTGTAATAGGGAAAAATGAAAACAACAGAAATGTCCAATAAGGGCATGGATGATGAAAATGTGGATCCCTGGGTGGTACAAACAGTTAACACAAAAGCCTGGAGAGTCAAGTCCACCCAGAGGCACCTCAGAAGAAAGGGCTGACAACCTACTTCCAAAAAATCAGCCATTGCATAACAAAGTTTATTGAGAAACTGTTCTGCATCCTACTTTGGTGAGTGGTGTCTGGGGTCTTAAAAGCTTGCCAAGCGGCCATCTAAGATGCATCAACTGGTCCCAAACACCTGGAATAAAGGAGAATGAAGAACACCAAAGACACAACAAGGAAAGTATTCACCCAAGAGACAGAAAGGGCCACATAAACCAGAGACTTCATCAGCCTGAGACCAGAAGAACTAGATGGTGCCGGCTACCACCAATGACCACCCTGACAGGGAACACAACAGAGAGTCCCTGACAGAGCAGGAGAAAGGTGGGGTGCAGAACTCAAATTCTAGTAAAAAGACCAGACTTAATGGTCTGACTGAGACTGGAGGAACCCCGGAAAGCACAGCCCCCGGATTCTCTATCAGCCCAGAACTAAAACAATTTCCGAGGCCAGCTCTTCACACAAAGATTGGACTGGACTGTGAAACATAAAATGATACTCGTGAAAAGTGTGCTTCTTAGCTCAAGTAGAGACATGAGACTAAACGGGCAGCTTCTGTCCGGAGGTGAGATGAGAAGGCAGAGAGGGTTAGAAGCTGGTTGAATGGACATGGGAAATCAGGGGTGGAAAGAAGAAGTGTGCTGTCACAGTATAGGAAAAGCAATTAGGGTCACATAACAATGTATGTATAAATTTTTGTAGGAGAGACTAACTTGAACTGTAAACTTTCACTGAAAGCACAACTAAATTAATTAATTTAAAAAATCAGCCGTTGAAAACCCTATGGAGTACAGTTCTACTCTTACACACATGGGGTCAGCATGAGTTCATATCAACTAGAGGCAGCTGGGTAAAAAAAAAAAAAAAAAAAAAAGTTTCTACATAAAATACTACAACAAATAAAATTAATAAAAGAGATTTATACCTATCAACATTTGATAGCTCATAAAATAGTAACGTACCAACCAAATACGTACACTGTGAAATTACTTTTGTGAATTTAAAAATACATAAAACAACAGTATATATTGCATGTGGAAAATGTGTGTAAAAGTATAGAAAATGGACTAGATGGATACACACCATGATACTGATATGGGGTGGGGAGAGAAGCAAGGTTGGATGGGGTGGCGATAAGCAGGAGTTTAGTTAAATAAGTAATGATTTCAAAAAGGAAAAGCCTAAACATAAACATAACAAACTGTTAACAGTTGGGTAGTGGAACCATTAGCTATATTATTCTTTGTACTTTTCTGTAATTCTAGAATGTCATTTCCCTATCCCCCAAGTCAACCACCTCCAACTGATCCTCCAGAATTTATCTCAATTATTTCATTTTCTGCCTCCTCTAATCTCAGTTCATTTCTCCTTCTTGCTTTCTCAGCTGCTGGGACTCTTGATCTCCTACGGTACACTGCAATTATTACCTGCATGCATCTCTGCAACAAGACTTATGAGCTGTCTGAAGCCATGGTCCTTGTAACCTTAGCAAGTAGCAGAGTGCCTAGCCAAGAGCAAACAATAAATGTTGATTGATTTGAACTGAACTGGATAGAAGGGGGAAAAGCCAGAAAAGGTCTCAATGCGGGGCCAGAAAGGTCCTTTTAGAGCATCTTAGTTCAGGGCAGAATGTTCCTTCAGTTGTTCTTGGCAACTATCTTGCAACACTGAGGAGAGCCAGCCTGTGGTAGGCAGCCTCTAAGATGGGCCCCAATGATTCCTACATCCTGACAGTCACACTTTTGTGTAATCCCTTCCCACTGACTGTTGGCTAGACTTAATCATTCACTTCTAACCAATATAATAAGGCAGAAGTGATGGGATGTCATCCCCATGATTAGGTTATAAAAAGACGGGTTTCCTGAGCACTCTCACTCAGTCTCTTGGACTGCTCACTTTGGGGGAAAGAATGCCACATCATGGGGCAATGTAGGGAGACCCATACTGGTGAAAAGATCTTCCAATCAAGTCTGCACATGAAACCATAGCCCCAGCTGACAGCTTGACTGCAACATCATAAGTGACTTTGAGTCAAAGGCACCCAGCTAAGCTGTGCCCAAATTAATAACCCACAGGAATTATGAGAATTAAATGCTTATGTTTTAAGCCACCAAATTTTAGGGTAATTTGTTACCTAACAATGGATAACTGTGATCATTAAGGCTGTGTCTCAACTTGTCTGGGTCATGATTCTCAGTGGTTTAGCAGTCATGATGTAGTTTGGTAGTCATATAGTGATATAATGACCTCCATGATGAGATCTGATATAATATGATCACCTACATGATGGGATCTGCTGTGAGTAGCTAATCAGTTGACAGGGAGTTTCCTTGGGGGTGTGGCCTACATCCAATATATGTGGACTTTCTGGCAAAGGTCACTGGCTTTTGCTCTGCTCTGGATCCTGCATCTGGCTCATCAGCATCTGACCTCTGGTTCTTGGGACGTGGGCCAACAGCCTACTGTCTTACCTGCTGATTGAATTCGTCGGCCATCGCAGCCATGAGCCAGCAGCCTGCCGTCTGACCTATGAATTTCGGATTTATCAGCCCTTGCAACTACGTGATTCAGGAGAAGCCTCGAGCCTGACACCTGTCCCACAGACTTGGGACTTAACAGCCTTTACAACCGCATGAGCCATTTCCTTTAGATAAATATCTCTTTCTCTATGTATATACACACTTGACTGGTTTTGCTTCTCTAGAGAACCTAACCTAAGACAATATGTAAGACACAGTTTAGAGGAGGAAAGAAATAGAAAATAGTAGGGTTAGGGCCCTGATCATACATGCCTAGAGACCATTCCACTTCTGGGCTTCCTGTGATGTGGGATAATAAATTTCCTTATTATTTGCGCCAGTATGAGCTATGTTTCCTGTTACTTGAAGTAGACAACATCCTAAATGATATAAATGTAAAAGTCCATCAGTAGAAGAATGATATATTACCTAGGATAGTATATTCGCCCCTATGCGTCTGTCAGTTTGTCATACTGTGGGGGCTTGTGTGTTGCTGTGATACTGGAAGCTATACCACCAGTATTCAAATACCAGCAGGGTTACCCGTGGTGGGCAGGTTTCAGCTGAGCTTCCAGACTAAGGCAGACTAGGAAGAAGGGCCTGGCGGTCTACTTCTGAAAAGAAGTAGCCAATGAAAACCTTATGAATAGCAGCAGAACGTTGTCTGATATAGTGCCGGAAGATGAGCCCCTCAGGTTGGAAGGCACTCAAAAGATGACTGGGGAAGAGCTGCCTCCTCAAAGTAGAGTTGACCTTAATGATGTGGATGCAGTCAAGCTTTCGGGACCTTCATTTGCTGCTGTGGCATGATTCAAAATGAGAAGAAATAGCTGCAAACATCCATTAATAATCAGAACGTGGAATGTATGAAGTATGAATCTGGGAAAATTGGAAATCATTAAAAATGAAATGGAACACATAAACACTGATATCCTAGGCATTAGTGAGTTTAAATGGACTGGTATTGGCCATTTTGACTTGGGCAATCAATGCTCTCCTATGCCAAGAATGACAAATTGAAGAGGAATGGTGTTGCAGTCATCATCAAAAGGAACATTTCAAAAATAAATATATAAATAAAAAATTTTAAACAAGAAAAAAAAAAAAACAACATTTCAAGATCTATCCTGAAGCACAATGCTGTCAGTGATAGGATAATAGCCATATACCTACAAGGTAGACCAGTTAATATACCTATTATTCAAATTTACACACCAACCACTAAGGCCAAAGATGAAGAAATTGAAGATTTTTACCAACTTCTGCAGTCTGAAATTGATCAAATATACAATCAGGATGCACTGATAATTGCTGGTGACTGGAATGCGAAATTTGGCGACAAAGAAGGACTGGTAGTTGGAAAATATGGCCTTGGTGACAAGAAACGATGCCAGAGATCACATGACAGAATTTTGCAAGACCAATGACCTCTTCACTGCAAATACTTTTCACTAACATAAATGGCAACTATACACGTGGACCTCGCCAGATGGAATGCACAGGAATCAAACTGACTACATCTGTGGAAAGAGATGATGGAAAAGCTAAAGAGACGATGGAAGAGCTCAATATCATTAGTTAGAACAAGGCCAGAAGCTGACTGTGGAACAGACCATCAATTGCTTATATGCAAGTTCAAGTTGAAACTGAAGAAAATTAGAACAAGTCAATGAGAGCCAAAGTACGACCTTTAGCATATCCCACCTGAATTTAGAGACTATCTCAAGAATAGATTTGATGCATTGAACATTAATGACCG